CATGCAAAGAAACCCTGTCCTGGGGAAAAAGAACAGAAAGTCTGGAGAAATGGGTTGGTGTTAGAACTCTCACTGGCTGTTCTATCCCAGCAACCACACACAGCTCTAGTTCCAGTGTGTTTGATGTCCTCTTCTGCCCTCTGCAGGCACAAGACATACAAAAACATCGATGCACAGTAAAAGAAAAGCTTTGGGGCTAGAACCTACAGCACCATAAAATGAGACATTGAAAAGACTAGAATAAAATGTTAAATTAACTTACGGTTTCATGAATTAAAAAGGCAATGTATATGATGAGCTAAAGAATGCAATTAATTTTAAGAATCCACTACAAATAGTAAAAATTATTAGAGCAGATTACAGTAGATAATGTTATCCAAAATAGTTAATTCTCATTAATTTCAGAGCTATCTTAAATGGTCTCTCTCCATATTCTTACTAAGGACACAGTGCTCCCTTATTAGTGATAAAATGGCTAACTCTTTAGAAAAAAAAATCAAAATTTAAACACAAACACCTAGCCACAACTACTAATGCAACTATTTGAACATTTCAAATTTCAGAATATTCCAGCTTTCAGAACAGAGATATTTAAACCTAGGGGTTTGCATGTGTTAAGTAAGCACTCTATCAACTGAGTCTGTATCTTCAGTATCCCCAATCTTTAAAAGCATTAAAACACACACACACACACACACACACACACACACACCACTCACTGTAATTAGTTGCATGAAATTTTATGTCATTCTTTGGTAGTTATTTCAATGCTTGGAGAGAACAAATAAATATTTCTAAATAAATCATACTTTTTATTTTAAAATATCAAAGAAAATACCTAGATAAGGAGGAGGAAATGCAGATAAACTGCTAACCTTGGAAGGTTATGCATACCACTTTATTTATGGGAAGAATGTCTCCGACTGGCTGTAGCCTGTTTACCAGAAGCTGCTATCAAAGGCTGCCGTGCTCGGCCCTAGCTTCTCCCCGTGACAGGATGCTTACTCCCACTCCCTCTGCAGGGCTCACTCAGGCCAAGGCCCATTCTCACTGACTCGAAGACTAGATCCATTTTAAAATGGCAGCTCCATTCAACACTATAACTTTCCAAAGTTTCTGAAGGTCTTCATCTAAAAGGTTTTAATAACTACAACAATACTAGCCACACATTTTTAGAACAAGAAATTCAGATTTGTTGTGGCAGACCTTGGGTAAGAGTACCACAGTGATAGAAATAGGAGGTTATGGATAAAGCAACTTCTGTTCTCAACCCTAAAGGGGGCAAGTGAAGTACAAAAAGACACCAGGAACGGCCAACCATTAAGAATGGCTATGCTGGGTGGTGGTGATGTATGCAGAAATGGTTGTGCTACTCCTCTGAGACAAGGTTTCTCTCTAAGCAGCCTTGGCTGTTCAGAATTCACTTTATAGAACAGATTGGCCTCCAACTCCCGTCTTCCTAGCCTTGCCTCCTGAGCGACCACACCTGACCCAAAGCAAATTTCCTGAGAGTCACAGTGACACAAAATTCTTGTTCTTGGAACAAAGACTGAGGCCCTTTATCTCTTTGCATTCTGGGTGTCAGTTTCATTTTTCTGTAAATGAAGTTAATATAACCCTCCCTATTCAAAATGTAAAGGAAACAGGGGACTCAGGAAACATTAAAGCATAATGAGAGGCAGGCATGGTTGCAGAAGCCTTTAATCCCAGCACTCAGGAGACCTAGAGGTAAGCAGGTAATAGACAGGTGGGCCTCTGCTAGTTCAAGGCCGGCCTGACCTACAAAGCGAATTCCAGCACAGTCAGAGCTAAGGGGAGAAACCTTGTCTGGGGTGGGAGGAGGGGGAGGAAGGAGGGGCCGGACTGACTTTAGAACACAGGAGACAGAAGACAGATCTCTTGAGTTGAAGGCCAGTCTGGTCTATAGTTCTAAGTCAGCCAGCCAGGGCTACAAAGACACTGCCTCAAAATACCGGGAGAGGGGAACATGATGTAAATACACCATTTTCGTGGGACGGCATAGCCATTCTTAATGGTTGTCCATTCTTAGCATCTTTCTGTACTTCAGCACTGGTCCCCTTATCTTGAGGGTTGAGAACAAAAGTTGTTTTATCCAGAACATTCTATTTCTGTCACTATGGAACTTGGATCCAAGGTCTGCCACAACAAATGATCTCTCTTAATTCAAGATCAGCCTGGCCTACACACAGCGAGACCCTGACTCAAACAAAACCAACCAAACAAAAACGCCACTCAATTTTTAGGGGTTGGAGGGCTCCGTGTTCTTTCTTCCCATCACCTACATTTAGGAGCTCACAATCAGCCTTAACTCCAGCTCCAGGAGGATCGATCACCTTTTATACAGACACATATACACACATGCAAGTACATAATTAGAAGGAACAAAAAAATAAGTCCTTAAAAACTTTACAGTTCACCCAGGCAGTGGAGGTGCATGCCTTTAATCCCAGCACTCCGGAGGCAGAGGTGGGCAGATCTCTGAGTTCGAGGCCAGCCTGGTCCACAAGAGCTAGTTCCAGGCCAGGCTCCAAAGTTACAGAGAAACCCTGTCTAGAAAAACCACAAACCTTTACAGTTCAATTTTCATACCAAGCACGGTAGCCTGTACCTCTACTTCCCAGCACCAAGGAAGCAAAGGTAGGACGTTACTATAAACTCCAGATCAGCCTAGGACACAAAGTAAATGTCAGGCTAGTTTGGGTTAAACAGGGATCCTGCCCCAAGAAACCAAATAAATACAGTCATAAAATGCAAATCCAACTTCCAGTGTACTTTAAACTGGGGGGGAGGGGGTGTGTGACAGCAACACAATATAGTAAGAGATCTTCCCAGTCTTAGTACTACAACAAGCCAGGATAAAATACCCACAAGTTAGATGATTACAATAAACCAATGCACAAAACATTCTTTTGCTGAGGGTTTGGAAAGAAACATTGCTTTACTGATTATTATGTACATAACTACCAATGAAGTGCAACCATTAAAGACTTACTTTTTTTTTTGCTGTTTTTTGTTTTGTTTTCAAAACAGGGTTTCTCTGTGTCCCTGACTGTCCTGAAACTACTCCTGTAGACCAGGTTGGCCTCAAACTCTTAAGAGAGCTGCCTGCCTCTGCCTCCCTCCCAAGAGCCGAGATTAAAGTTGAGTGCCACCACCATCCTGCACAGGTCAACTAAAATCCGCCCACTTTCCATTCAGAGTCATCCAATTTGGGCTTCAGTGTAAACGCTGAAGAAGTGTCACTCCATCATCTTCTTCATATCCATTCAACATAAAACATAGGAAAAAAATTTAGGAAACTAAGAAAATAACTTCTAATAGTGGGTAATAATTCTGCAACATAAATTGCTGCCAAGAATCTAAAAGCTATTATGAATATCTGTAAATTTCCAGTTGTTGATATTGAATTTTTGTTATTTAATCTCTAAGGCAAATACAGCTAACATTCCCTGCTAAAACAATGCCAACCATTTCTTCAAAGCTAGAACTTGCCTAACAGTTCAGCTTCCTTGGTCACTAAGTTAACACTCAGTCTAGCTATTAATTTTGTGGGAGGTTCAGACCAACGGCTGAACAACAAACTGCCTCAGCTGCAGCATGCCCCCAGACTGCAGTGAGTGGTGGCAGGGCCTGGGTACTTCCGATGACCCAGGTATGCTGGTGCCTTGAACCTGAAGTGCAGGATCTTACCCAGTTTCACTTACTGAACTATCCAATGACGTCATCATCTGCTCCTGGGCTAGCCAGTCACCCATTCCACTAGTGTCTAATTCACTCCACTGCGGATTTGCTTTCACCACTAGTATTTCAATTCGTTTTTTTGTGTTTTGTTTTCCAAGACAGGGTTTCCCTGTGTAGCCCTCCCTGGCTGTCCTGGAATTCACTCTGTGGACCAGGCTGGCCTTCAACTCGAGATCTTCCTGCCTCTGCATCCGGAGCTCAACTAAAATTGTACACCCAAGCCCAGCACTATTCCAGTTCTAAATGTTCAATAACCTAAGCCACCAAGAAACATTTTTGAAGCCCTTCTCATAATTGATGTTTCATAATGAAATAATTTGTACACAACTGAGATTAGAAGGAAAGAAACACATGGCCTTAAAACTTCCTAAGAAGGGACAATATTCAGTCCTAATATCCAAACTGAGCAAACTTGTTTCTTTTTTTGGGGGGTGGAGGGGTGGGTGGGCGGACGACAAGGACAGAATCTCACTATGTAGCCTGGATGGTTTTTAAGTATGCAGACCAGGTTGGTCTCGAACTCACAAGATCTACCCGCCTGTCTCCCGAGTGCTGAAAACACCGGGCCTGAACCTGAAGACCAGAAAGGGACCACTGGTTTTGCCAAAGGCAAGTGTTTACCTAGAAACTTTGGTTCACATGCCTAGGGCTACATTAACAGCCAAATATGGACAAGAAATTATTATCATCTATTCTAGTGCGTCCATTTAACTGCAGTTAATGGTTCCCTGAACTGGGTACTTGCAACGAACGAGGTATGGTGTATAGAATCTAAAAACCAGAAACCTTAACTCAAGTTAATAAATAGCACAACAATCATACCCGGAGGGAGAAAGGCAATTTTTCTTGATTCAGCTTTGGTGCACGTGTTTTGTTTTTAAGGAGGCAAAAGGCACCTCCTCATACACTCGATTAAAAATCAGTTATATCTTGGGAGCAAAATTTATGAACACGACCCTATAACCCCAAAGCAGTATAGGGACACCTGAAGAAAACGGTTCTTAGAGACGCAGGAAAACCTCGATCAAATTCCACTAACAAAACCCACACCATCTAGGGAAACTTACATTCTTCTCCCCTCACCCTCTACCAAAAAAAAGTGTGTGGAGGGGAAGAAACCCATTCCGAAAACACTCAAACGTCTTTTTTTTTCCCCCCTGGGCAACTGGAGATCGCCTGCAGAAAAAAGGACGGAGAGTCTTCGTTCCTTACAGCCCTGGTATCAGAACATGTTCGGGATGATTGGGGGGGGGGGGGGGAGTTCGAGCACCCGGCAAGCGGAGCGGCGGCCACCTTCAACCCCGGATTCAGTTTCCGGGCACAGAAATGGTGCCCGGAGGCCGCTACTTTCGCATCTGCGTCGCTTCTGCCTCCGCCGACACGGCCTCCCTCCCCTCCCCCACGGGCGGGGCGACGACCGGGAACCAGGGCCGCAAACCAGCGGGGGGCCAGGCTGGTGGGCTTCCCACCCTGAAATTGCGTCTGCAGAAGCCCACCGGCCGGCTTCGCGGCTTGGCGCCTGTCGGCGCGCTCCTGGAGCTGCGGCGGACAGGGTCCCGCCGAGCAGCCTCATCCCGGCAAGCCCCAGCCCCACCTGTGCCCTCCTCTGCACCACGCGCGCGGGTCATCTTCCTCCCCACGCAGCCTCACGCTCACCTTGCAGAAAAGGCTCGGCTCGGCACACACGCACGCACTCTGGCTGGCGTAGGCAGCCGGCGAGAACAATGTTTCTGCCGCGGTACCCCAGACAGCGAGCGCACACACCGGACGGTTGCTGCGAGCCGCGGGAGCGGAGTGAAATGTCCCCTGCCGACCACCACACCGACCGCCCCTCTCGGCCCCCGTACACACCTCCAACCAACAGCGGCGGCGGGCACGTCGCGCGGAGGTCAGGAGTGTCGCGGAATCGGCCGCAGCAGATTCTCCTTCCTCGTCTAAGCCCGAGGCTTGGGAATCCGGAGACCTGCAAGCTCGGGCCCCTCGAAGCCGCTTCTTCCCCAGAGCCTAAAGCTGCAACGAGCGACAAGAACACGGACGTCCCGCCCCCTTTGCCGCCGCCCCCTCTTATTGTTTTACCCCTGCCGAAAGGGCTAGGGAACCCCCCAGAACAACGCCAGCCAATCAGACATCACCATGGAGAGCAGGACCCAACCCTCTCGCGTCCCTCTGCGGAGCACGCGCAGTACGGCGCCGCGCTCGCGCACTCGGGCGTCCGGAAAGCCAGGGAACCGGAACCGGCCTAGAGCCCGGGCCAGAGCCCGCTGATTTGACGTCACAAGGAAGCTGCCTTTCTCTTGCAGTGATGCTGAGTCTCCTGTCCTCTCAGGTGGCGCGAACAAAAAAAGCTGGCTCCTCGCTGAGCAGTGTCTTTTACTAAAGGATAGTCCTGGAGCCTTTATTCGTGCTAAGATGTCCCTAAACTAGGGGCCTGCAGGTTGCTGCCTTAACGGAGCATTAAAATGCAGTGTTCAACTCTGCACAGGGAGCACACCTATTCTGCTTATTGACCTGTTTTAGGAAATGGAGGTTTTAAGCCTTTCAAGTCAGTATCATCCAGCTAGTTTAAAAGGGTTGCTGAGTCGTGCGTGGAGTATTGGGAAAAAAAAAAACAAAACACCTTGGCCTGTATAGACTTGGGTCTCTTGTATGGCCTTGATCATCCTTAAAAGGAACCAAGCATTTACAAACGAAGGCTCAAAGGCTTAAAAAAATGTCGTTTACAGATCTGGGACTCAGTTGTGGACACTACATTGCCTCATGGACCTTGATTCATGGAGGGGGGGAATCATTTGTGGACAAGATGTTGTTCCTTTGCCACATATAGATCTGGCAACGTTTTCAATATTAAAATAGCGGAAGAAATTGGGAATGCTCAGAAGAGCAACCCGAGGAGAATAGAAACATCTGAACCAAGCACGATGCAGGCATAAATACATCATCAGTTTTTCCTCACACTCCTATAATGGTGATTTTATCGTATTTCCTAAAAGTAAAAGGTTCACAAAAGGCAACAGCGATATTTGAGCCTCCAAAATCTACACTGGCATTACTTTGAATGACTTAATAATTTGTATATGCAAAATATATGGGCAGACCATCACTTATTAAGTGAAACTGAGGTGGTGTCCCTTAACTTAATGCATTACATATGCAGATTACCCTATAAGTACACTATTTATAGATCAGGCAGTCCTCTGATTATTTTATGAAATCGCTTATGACTCACAAAAGCCCAAAGTAGTCACCTATTTGAATGCACACTTTACAGATGCAGAAAGTAATGCTTAAGAGGTCTATTTACCCAAGAACACACACCTATTACTCATCTCAGCCAGGCATAGAGGAACACACTTGTAATCCCAGCACCTGGGAAGCAGAGACAGGGTGGTAACCCCAAGTTCTAGACCTACAAATTTGGTCAACAAAGCAAATTCCAGGCCAGCCAGGGCTACATAAGGAGACTGTCTCAATCATAAATGAACAATTACTCATTTCAACAGGAGCAGTCTGCGGCTACTGCCTACACCCTTAATTGTAAACTACAGAATGCTACTATTATTAACTGCTAACATTTCAACTGTTTCCAGCCACAAACATTGCTTTTTGTTTGTTCTGTTTTTGACGTCTAAAGGCAAGGTTTCTCTGTGTAGCCCTGGCTGTCCTGGAACTCACTCTCTAGACCAGGCTGGCCACAAACTCAGAGATAGGCCTACCTCTGCCTCCCAGGTACTGGGATAAAAGTGTGTGATACCTTGCTTGGCTCCATGCAGTGTTTTTATAAGTATTCTTTGTCGGGGCTGGAGAGACGGCTCCATGATTAAGAGCACCACCTGCTCTTCCAGAGGTCCTGAGTTCAATTCCCCACAACCACATGGTGGTTCACAACCATCTGTAATGAGATCTGGTGCCCTCTTTTGGCCTGCAGGCAGAGTACTGAGAATACTGTATACACAATAAATAAATAAATCTTAAAAAAAAAAAGTATTCTTTGTCCTGTAACCTGGAATAAAGATGGAAGTTTCTTGTTTGTTTTTTGTTTTTTAAAGACAGGGTTTCTCTGTAGCTTTGGAGCCTGTCCTGGAACTAGCTTTTGTAGGCCAGGCTGGCCTTAAACTACAGAGATCAGCCTGCCTCTGCCTCCCAAGAGCTGGGATTAAAGGTGTGCACCATCACCACCTGGCAAAAGGGAACTTTCTTGAGAGTGGGTCTCAGGCCTTCATGTTCATGCAAATGAGATCTCGGCTTGTTATAATACCTCCCAGAGTTTGGGACTCTGCAGGTGTGTGGGGAGGCCTGAGAATTTGCATTTCTCACAGCGCCCAGGGGATTCTGTGACTGCCACTCTAGGAAACCAGTTTACCACTACTACAGCAGAGGCTGGCGAACTTCAGGAAAGAATCAACTACTATGTTCCTCTCCCCTCCTTTTATAATCTTTCAAAGCAGAAAATAAAATTCTCAACTTAACTCTAGGCTTATACAAAAGCAAGCCTCAGGCAACCCCTGCCATTAAGACACAGCAGTAAATGGTTACCAGTTTAAAAAAAAAAAAAAAGACCCAGCAATCTCCAATTTTAGTAAATTACTCTAACCAAATCCCACAAGTAGCTAGCATTTTTTATTCCTAAATGTCTCTCTAGTCTGCTCTCTGAATACCTCTGCATTCTGATAGTCTTTGGCCGGGGTTGACCCTGTTTCATCTTTCCACGAGACAGTAACAGACTCGTTAATCTCTCTGTCTTTCAAAATCACCATGAAGCAACCACTGTGTCCATGGACCAAGATGGGAGGTCAGACTGAAGGATACCTGAAGGCCAAAAACCTGTCACCCTTCATTTCATATATATATATATATATATATGAAAGACAAGGAGTAGCAGGATCACATTTACTTCCCTTAACCATATAACTTGACCATTGTTTTCTATTAGTACATAAATAAACTTAATTTTTTTCCCCAATGGCTAGCCAGGTTAGTTTAGGTAATCAAATAAATTAGAAAATTAGGATATAACCAAAGTAAGGGCAAAGTATATATTTGCACATTTTTGCCACAAATGAAAATCAATGGATTAATAAAACTTAATGAGAAACCAACATCTGATTGATAAGAAACATAACAACATAATCATCTATTTAAAAGGATGTCTGACAGGGGGAAAAAAGTACATAGTATTAGTAAAACCTAAAGGGAGAATCTTCAGTTAGAAGTTAAGATTAATTCATCCCTTCAAAAATAAAAGCCCTGTGAGGGGTGTGTGTGTGTGTGTGTGTGTGTGCAGGACACACACATATCTAAAGCTCTAAAATTAATATTTAAGAATATTCTGTGGCCGGGAAGTGATGGCACACACCTTTAATCCCAGCTCTCAAGGAGGCAGAGGCAGGCAGATCTCTGTGAGTTCGAGGACAGCCTGGTCTACAGACTTAGTTCCAGGACAATCAGAGATATACAAAGAAACCCTGTCTTGGAAAAAAGTAAAAAATAAAAAATGGCCAGTGGAAGAAAAGATACCCAAGAGTCAGAGCGGCAGTTCAGTGAACAAAGGCACTTGCCACCATAGCGAACAGACTGGGGCCTGAGTTTGATCCCTAGGACCCACGTGGCTCAAGTATAGAACTGACTTCCACACATGCATAAGTATAGTGGCACGCTCTTTCATGTGTGCACATACGCACAAGTAAGTGTAACAATAACAATAACATTTTAAAATCAGAGAGAGACTCTGTCTTCTGTCAGCATGACATGTCTCACCTCAGCAACAAACGTCCACAGCCTTTGAGCAAGTCTTCTTTACTGAAAAAATAATAATAGAGAATTCTAGGGCTTTTCTTTAATACACCTGGCTTTTTTTTTTCCCCAAGACAGGGTTTTTCTGTTCTCTGTAGCTTTGGAGCCTGTCCTGGAACTAGTTCTTGTAGACCAGGCTGGCCTTGAACTCATAAGATCTACCTGCCACTGCCTCCCAAGTGCTGGGATTAAAAGTGTGGGATAGATTAAGGCCAAAACGTCTTTTCCTCTCCATTTCATTATTTTGTATAAAACAGATCACACATCCAGAAAAATACAATAGCTATATCCATTTTATACTTGCTTCAGCTTTTAGAGGCACACAGAACCAAAACTCAACCTACCAATGATTAGATTATAAAACTGCCAAAATAATTCATCTGGACTGGTTGAATGCTAATCGATTCTATGCAGGACTCCTGAAGCTATGATGATAGGCAGAATCACCCCAGGCTGAGTGACGGAAGAGACAACGTGACCCTGGAAAAGTGGAACTTTAAGAAAATAGAAATAAGGAAAGCAACCCCTGTGCTGAGTCACCTGGAGTCCAGAGGGGAAATGCCTTATGTGTTCATCCAGAATGGGCTGTTATTAGTCAGACAGGGCCACTCTGGCCGTTGCTGGGCTGCAGGTGGGCTTCACTCACTAGGCCTTACAGTCCGAATATAAAATGCCTTAACGCTCTCCAGCTCTCCTCTCCGCCTTCATGCCCACCCCGCACTGTGGAGACCTCATCAGGAGATATTTTGATTATTGGGAACTGGCCTCGCTCTATGTGAATGGAATTCTGGCCATTCCTTGATCAGGCCCTATGGATTAAGTTAGTGTCAAAGAATACCTCTGAGACAGAGTTCTCAGGTAGTAGGAGATTGCCTCAGACAAGTCAGAGTTGAAGTGAAAGACCCCTGGTGTGAGGAGACTCTCAAGTCTCGGATAACACGACCCCCCCCCCAAGTAACTCACGAGAGACCATCCTTGCTGCAATCACACGAGGTTTATTCAACAAGACAGGAACCAGTGCACTGAGGCCGAGACTCATAACCCACGCAGGGGAGGAGTTTGACCCCGAGTAACTGGGAGAAGGAGTTTTTAAGGGAAGAAACCACAGCCCAGTAATTCGAATGGGGTAGGGAGGGCATCATAGAAAATTCCGATAATACCAATGATGATCACAAGGTGGCAACCCCTGGTTCAAGATTATTCTCAAGATTACAATCTAACTTTATCTTCAGCTAGTTCCTGAAATAGAGTCACTGAACCTGCTAATCCTAGATTTCTGATTCTTCCCTCCCTGCTTAGATTTTTGGCTCTATTTTTTCCTGCTAGGGGGATCTGGATTTATCCAGGTCTTTTCATAAGAACCAATTTCCACTGAAATATGGAAGTGTGGAGCACGTGGTCAGACGCCATCTTCCTCATTGAGTGCTTCTCTGAAACTCAGTAGATCAGTTCAAGGATGGAATTTTTAGAGTAGAGGTTACTTATAGTGTTTAGAATGATTACTGGTAGGGTGTGTATTACATGTATGAGTCCCATGGTTAAAAAAAAATGTAAGCCAGACGTGAGCCTTTGTTTCTAGTATACAAGAGAGAGGCTGAGCAAGAGGATCACTTGAGCCCAGTTCAGGGGTAGCTTGGGTACAAGGCAAGAGTCTTGGTAGGGGGAAGAAAGGAAAGGAGGGTTGGGAGAAAGAAAGCAAGGGGAAAAAGAACCACTATCAAGAGAACTCAATACAGTACTGCGTAAAGTCAAACTATATAAACACAGTAGGCATAAAGATGGCTGGACTAGGTGTCCCAGCCCCACCTGACTGTTCCCTAGTCCCTTTTGAGTTAAATACTTCGTTTGGGGGCAGAGCAGAGAAACCATGGTGAGTGTCTTAAATGGAGTCAAATTTACTCATCTCTTCCAATAAGCAGTATGTAAAACTGTTCAAGGCAGCAAGAACAGAGCTGCA